AACCGATCCCAGTGGCTCATACGCAGTTATTTCTTAGCAATACTGTCTAGGTAAAGATTGTTTGTTGTGTGGTATGATTCTGTCGGATGAGATTCGTTTTGCTAACTATGCCATAGCTTCACCTGATTATCAGCTTTTTCTACCTAATATTGTGCAAAGACGTAAGCACCTTCACAAAATATACTCACTTGAAAACTAATTTGGTTTTAACGGAACAGCATGCTGAATCCAAGCTGAATCTTTCATTTCGATATTCTTCAACTGAATGAACTAAGCAAAGGCCGCCTTGTGTTTCAGCTAGGGACTGTTTTTGAGATATTGCAGAACGAAAAGCACTACGTTTTTTGGACGTCCACGACCTACCTCGTCCTTCTTGGAACTCTTGAGGTAGGCTGCTCACTACCCCAGTTTCCGTCATCCGTGCACTCTACTTGAACCCTAGTTCTTCTTTTTGGTTTTGATGTGGTTCCTGTCGTCTCCTCTTTTGATTGTTCATTACGGGAAAATTCCTATAGCAGTCTAACTGGAATCTTTCGGAGCTACATTTGTTCTACTGGGTTTCAGTGGAATGTACCATTCCCGTCGGCTGAATTGCGTCTGCGTCAAAAATTAGTTCACCTATGTTGCGTAAGATTGTTGTCAGAGGCTGACCAGGCCCTGAAGAAGATCAAAGGCATTTGTTTCTATCTAATAAAAGTATATCTTTCCCTTCAAAATTAGAACGGCCGGTCCATGTGGATTACGAAGCCTACCTTTTCGTGCCCTGTTATCATGGTGAGCTGTTTGATCTGTCATCCGTGGCAAAGGCTGTCTCACAGCTTTTACGTGGGTACAATCACCCGGATATCGTACCTAGATGCGTTGTCCTAGTTAAGTGGAGTTTCGACCACTAAGTGGCAGTTAAGGGTTCCACCGGTTGTCTACCGTCTATGGGTGCTATCGGTTGTGCGGTTTGGAAGTTGATGCAGACTGTTGGATTGCTGGTTGTTCATGGAGCGCCGCACTGAATCATCATGACGGATATAATTTTCAGTGTGCCGTGAGAGAAAGCTTCAAACAGCCTCGAATTAAGGTACGATCAGGAACGCCACACTACTAGTTTCTGCTCCCCTGTAAGACTGTAGTCTTTCGCAGAAGACGCCAACTTCTACCGGAATAGAATATAATCATGTTGGTGTGCTTAGTCATTTGAGATAACCTCATTCACCAGAGCTGATTCGCGTTATCTTCGCCGTGGAATCATAACGAGGGCTCAGTTGTCTCCCCTGGACTCGCAACCAGTGTGCCGTCAACCGGGATCTGGCACCCTGCACCCGCCTTCAACCTTTCATCTAACTGGAAGCACCATCAAGAGATTGCAGTGACAAGAAGCTTCCGGACAGGTTAATTGAGAGAATTTTAGTGAAGTCAAATGAACGGCGTTACTTTCTTCAGACACCGCCTAACTTCAACCGTGCTGAGATATTTGGCTCACATATTGCTCGATTCAGGCCTTGTTCACACAGTTGCAGGCACTTAGTATGAGCAAGTTTACATCTCCCTGGCAGTGCATCTTTCACTGGGTTGAGATGAGATGAGCGATTACATTGGGTTCGCTGATGTGCATTACTGAACCTCGTCAGTGTAACCTACTTTTCGGTGATTTATTGACCATTTTCTATGCCTTACAGCTGATCATGCCAGTATAGTTTCTGTTCACTACCTATAACAATGGCTGAAAAAAAGCCGAATGAATGGGTTCAGCTTTTGCTTCTTCGGTTCGACTCCCAGGTAAGCCTCCCTTTACTGTAGCTTCCCTGTGTGCTTTTCTCGTCTCATTTTTGTTCTTGAACAATATAACGGGGGTTCTTTGTGGGAGTAGCGTTTCAGGTGCCTTATGATGCATATAATTATATCATTCCTTCTCATGTGTAATTGATGATACCATTTCTTAGGCTCCTGAATAGCCGTTTGATCCATCTTGAAACCGTCCTCTTTCCTTGCCCACCAGTATGTTGCGCCAGGCTTTGGGAAACTCAAGACCATAAGCTTTCGATCTTGAACTTTTATCTAACCCTGAACAGAGCCTTCTGAAAGATGAAAAACATTTCCTTTGTTACCAGCCCATCATTAGCCACCTGAGTCGTTTCGTTTCTTCCAAGCATCGTAAACGAATTGTTCGACAGAGCTTTTTTGCAGCGGAGTAGAGTTTTTAGGTAGTTCAGTTTTGTCATGGCTTACCGAGTTTAGTTCATTCTACATACAAGTCTATGTTTTTCTTGCAGCTTTCCACGAGCTGATGGCGTAGATTATCAGTCTTATTCAATCTTACTCTAGTCTCACACAGCAGCTAATTTTGCGTTGTAGGCCATGCTAATATCTTCTCCTGGTGTAAAGTTTATTCCCATTACAAACGCGCTTGTGGATAGACGTATAAATCTGGCAGGATTTCAATATCCCTTTCTTTCGTTGATCGAATGGCAGCTGTGGTCCGAGGACGTGTCACAGATGAACGGAAAAAAATCTCCTTCCCCAAAAGTTCAGGTTCCGTGTTTACGGAGGTTCTCCGAGTGAGGCGTGCCATTACCAGTCCATTCACTGTGCAGTGTACAGCAAACATTTTGGGTATTTTGAATCTGGCGAATCTCGACCTCTGCGTTTAATCACCGAAACTACGCTAGCCACTTGACTGATTCATTAGTCCATGAGAGCAGTGACTCTTTTCATGTTACAACCGCATTTGAAATGGTTGAATTTATCCGGCTGAAGCTTATCTGCGGTAATGCCCTTTAAGCAGAGCACGAAGAAGAAAGGTTGTTTTGAGTCCTCCTTGGATGTGCGCTCTTTGGAGGGATTCATTTTCGGAAGATAACCGTACAATGTTCGATGCTACAGATACTAAGAACAACAGTTAGGTCAACCGTCAGCTTCTCTGTATTCCTTCTGTAATGCACGCGTGTTAAAACCCAAAGATTACGCTTGATAGGACTCGTCTTTGTCAATTTGAACACAGTGCATCGACACTGTTCACAGAGTAATTGCTCGAATTTTATTAATCCAAGTGTCCAGATATCTGCACCCGCAGCGCGAAAAGTAACATTGGGGCTTAGCTCCAAGTTTGTGGATAGTTCCATCTGGAAACCTCTTTTTTCGATTTGGTTCCTCAATCCTACTACGTCCCCACCGAATCACATTTCCGATTGTCCTATTTTCACAGTTGCCCATCCGAACTGGTCTTCACACCGCCCAGTCGACGCAGAATATGGAACAGAACAAAGAATGTCTAATCACTGTCAGCAAATGTAAATTTTCCCTGGTGATTTCCGGCCTAACAAAAATGCTTCAAAACATCGATAGTATGGTAAGGTCTCATGTTTTCTATTGCCTTTCCCCATATTTTTTACTCAGCAAGTCTATGGGCCAGACGCCGAACGCAATTTTTGCGACTCATTGTTGATTGTTTTGGAGACGCTGGAAAAATGCTTAACTTGTGTAAGTGGGCTATCATGACATGGAGCAACTTCTCTTACACCTCTAGCAAACCCGTGAAACTTCACGGTTAGACGAGACAATTTTGGTGAAGAACCTGCTTCAAGAGTTGTTTCGGGTTCGTAATCTCGTACTGAATGTGAGTGGTCGCCCTCATTCATTCATTAATCTTTCTAAAGTTTATGAATTTGACCAGTGATAACGTGAAGATGTACAACCAGCTGTTGACTTTGGTGTCTCAGGTTCTCTATGCCCTGAGCACCCAATACTTCAATGCTGTTTTCAATCGAATCCTTAGTTGGTAAGTTGCAGTTTCTCAGTCATCTGGTTTGGAACAGCTCTGATAATTTCTTACAGTTCGTTCAATAGATATATGCTACAGCGCTAGTTTTTTATCTAGAGAAGGCAGCAGAAAGCCATATCAACAAAGACTTGCAAGCAGGACACTCGCATTTCTAGTCTATCTCAATTCCTGGAGTGACCACTTTTTGGCCCATCACATTTGACCTCTAAGTTCCCTGTTTTGGGTCTTTCAAGATGACCCATCATCCTCTAGTAGCGTTGGTCTCCTCGGAATGCACGTTCAGTTGTCTTCTCCCGTATTTTGTACAGCGGTCCACCTTTACAACTTGCCTTGCAAATAAGAGGACTGTGTTGACAATATGTCGAAATATCTGTAGCTCGAGTGCGTTAGATGTTTGTTTATCAGCTGGCGACTGATCCGTTCGGTGAGCTTAACATTCGTCATTTATGTGCGCTGCTGGATGACCACATGTATAGTTCATGTACTTTCTCTATCCTGACTGACTGTTGGAGGTTTCGCTTGCGTACAGTTTTGTTGATCCTAAACCTCAAATGCCCAATCAGGTTAGAGAGATCAATAGTCTTCAGATAGATCTTCAGATAGATCTTCAGACCCTCGCGCAGGAAATAAGCATCCAACCGCATGCTGACGATATCCACTCATATGATTCCGAAGCGTCCGCAAGCGAATTGACAAGCTTGGCAAAGGAATCGGTTGCCACGTGAGAAGTGCATGAAGTGCATCGAATTGTGTTTTGGGACAAGTAATAAATGCCTATCGTGCATTTAGATCCTAGAAACCAGCTCACTTGTATCAAGGAAGCACTAGGAAGGACATAGTGACGAAGATGTAGTAACAGAGACAGAGGTCAATTCACGATAAAAAAAAACCCTCGCGCACCGATGTGCCTCCTTAACATCTCGTTGTCCTGTTGTTGTATTGTGCGGTGGTGGCCGAGCTATTGGTTACGCCTGCGCTGAGCCTGCCAGACTACGCGATAGTGAGAAAACAGAGAACTTGCGGCACGTCTGTATTGCCAGGATAAAACATACAGAATGTCTGCGTAAATATATAGGATGACTAATTGGCTAAATGTGGTCGTTCATTTGTTCGTTCCGTACAGCCAATGGTGGTGTTCCGGTCGTGAACATTCTCAGGCCTACTACGCTGGCCGTGTGTTGCTAAGCCGTTTGGTGAGAGCCTTGTTTCGTGGGTGCCGCCAACTCATCTACTTTCCGGACGCGTCGTACCTTAGGGATGTGTCACTCTCTGCACATGTACTTTTTCTTCTGTCTGGGCGCGCCCTGACACCTGTTCTGCTCGGTTTTTCAGTCGTGAACCTTGCACACGAGTACATGGGTTTCACAATTGGAACGCCTCCAGCATCAAATGCTGGCACGCGTAACAGGTGGCGTCGGTTTATGAAACTCTAGAACGTTCATCCATTTGGGCAGCTGATTTCGGATATTTCCTTCAGTAGATACATTCAAGGGGTCTTACTGTACTTCATACATGTATGTAATCTACGCCTAGTTAACTGGATTTGAATGAGTCTCAGGAAGACGGAGGAATCCATTAGTCATACGTAGACTAAAGCTGATCCAGTCCGCACTTCGTCGAATATTGACTGGGTTTTTGCTATTGGTTGGTTGTGAACGCCCACACATACTGGTGCAAAACTGCCTTTTTGAGAAGCTTAACTTGCATTTAGGAACTCAGGTTCACTTTACTTAACCACGACCGTCTGGTCCCTGGAATTCTCGTCCAAAATTAAGGTGCTTAACTTCCTTGTTCTTCTGAAGGTGAATTGGGATTTCATTGACGATTATTTCTGAAAGTAATAGTTGATGTTCGTGGAACAGACGGTGAAGTTTCCACGTAATAAAACCTGTCATTTGCCCACAATTATGCTAATTTGTTGATTCGGAGTTAGTGCCTCTGTGTTTCAGTTTGACACTTGCTGCCCAAGACGAATCTAGTGGTGATTTGGCAAACGAACTCGAGCTCATCCAGCATCTCAACTTGGATGTGCGGAAGCTTTCGCGGCTCATTTTCGGCAAGTTGATTTACTTAATCCTTACCTGCAATTATAGAAATTTGCAATCGCTTTCGCTCCCTTAAAAAGGCGATTTGGCTGCACTTGGCGGTGTACCTTGAACGAGTGAGTCTGTTGTGATTCTCGTTTTTCAACAGAAATTTATGACGTTTTCCATCGCGTTCGTTCTGTCTAATTTTCAGCAAACCTGGTTATCCCTCATGCACAGCTGCGCAGTTCATAAGTCTAGCAACAGGACATAACGCTGCCAACTTCATATTCTCTATATTCTTAAGAACCTCAAAGCGTAGGCTTTGACAGTCCTCAGTACATTACAATTTGGCTCGTCAAGTCTTCGTAGGGTTTTACCAGCACCGGGGTGTCTTTAGAATTATTCTGGAACATCCTGTAAGATCTAAAGTCGGAGTCGGTAGGTACACCACGTAATCAGTTCACATCAGCACCTCACCCCTAGAAGATGCGCAGTCCTTTTACTCTTTTACGCCCTGCCAGTAGGAATGGTGGGAACGGTAGTAACAGGAAGTTAATACTTCGTAGTCTACATTCCGTCAATTCATGCTTCGAGAGATGACTGAAGTGGCTATAGCTCGAATTTACTGACCGGAAGGTCCGTGGTTCGACCCCGACCTCTGCCTCTCGACTTCCCCTGTCTAGGCTTGGGCAACCTGGCAGTATCCCAGCCCTCGTGCTTCCTTCGAGTAGCATGACAGTTAGGCACTGGAAGGGTGTTACAGCTTATCTAAACACGATAAAATCTCTCACTCTAATGTCTATGAGGCACTCTCCTAGCCCCCTTGAAAATTTTCGTGTGCTTGATTTCAACAGTCGAACTATATCCCTATTCACATGGATACAGTTGTATCGTTAAACTATTCTGAAATTTTCCAGCGATTTTTCAGTTCTCCAAAATGCCACTGTCTGTTCTCGATCTGTGGGCTGCCTCTAGCCAATTGCTTCGCTGTCATGTGTTGGTTAAATACTAAATGCCCATGAAGAACCGGAGACACGCGGGTGATTTACCTCGTTGTGAACAGTTGACATCTGGATTAAGCGGATAATCCCAATGTTCGCCGATGTAAATCATTGGCGGTTTTATCACTACATTTCTCGATATGTACCAGTTATACAGAAGCAAAGTAATCACGGGAAATTTGTATGCTTTCGTTTGATCCAAAGGCCATCTGGAACTGGCTGGAAAATTATCCTCAAGAATTTGATGAACTTCAAAAGAAACCCAGCGATGAACTTGCTGGTGAGTTTCCACGGGAACGACAAATTTTGTCTGCATTTTCATGCGTGTTAGTTACTTCAGGGGACCCTAGCCCTAGCTACTCATCAGCGAGTGTTTAGGACGCTCCTGTTTTCCCCTATCCCTCCGAACCCTTTCTTTCATCGTATTACCAGCATAGGTCTGCCAGCCCCTTAAAGGAACTATTTAATGTGGACCACGAAGCATAAATTGGCTTACATGAAAAAAAAGGTGTTCCGACTGGCAGCATTTAGCTAGGCGATCCTCTGGATTCAAAGTTGCTTCCAGATTTCCTCAGGTTATTCGCTGCAGATAATAGGTCCATTCTTCAACTGTGCTTTACTGATGAACTTCAGGTGGTTAGGTTTGACCAAAATGGTACAATCGTCGCGCTGGAACCGCACTGGAAACTATCTTTCCACTTTCTTGTGAACTTTAAATCGGTTGTTTGGAGTCTGGGTTTAGTCGACATCCCTAAATAGGCTTCGCACCTATCAAACGAGCCGGCAACTCACCTTCACTTCAGTGAGAGCTTCTTTATCTCCTAGAGGTGAAAAGATATTCCCACTACGGTCTCTAGTGGGCTAGTATTTTGAGCAGAACGTGCAGAGTAATATCATAGGAACACTTTTCAAGGCTCTCACTTCCCACCACCGTAAAGTCTTTGAAGAAGTACGTGGTGTACATCAGTTTCAACTGTAAGTGGATGCCAGCTGATGATCTATTTCTTTCATTTTAACCCCATAAGACAACGGTTTGCTACCTCTACTCTCCAGTCTGGGCTTTGGTAACTTGACAGGACCTCAGTCTTCGAAGGGTGTAACAGCTGAATATTTACTATACTATTTTATTCCCCGTGACAATAGATGTTAGAACTCTTACTATCGTCTCAACGCCTGAGACTATCCAGATTTTTCAACTGAAGCCTAAACCCAACAGTTTCATTACTTCGTTGTTGGAACGCTCTATCTGGTCTCACGTATGTCAACTAATTATAGACTTGCACGTTTTCCTTGTAGAGTGCTGTGAGCGCCTATTTTATCTGTTCACATCTTTGTGCGCTGAAAGCGGTCGGAAGAAGCTGTTTGTATGGCCGTTGCAAATGATGCTCCTTGTCCTTTGTCCGAAAATTCTCGAAGAAATTATCAATGCCGAAAATGGTGCCCCGCTTTCACCACAGCATCAAAAGAAAAAGCAGTTTGTCGATGAGGTACGTACGTCAGGTTAAATGTGCCCTATTCGTGTTTGCCTCACTACGGTTTAAGATTATTTCGCTAGATTTCGTCTGTAACCATTCTTTGACGGCACCAGGGTCCATGTCTTCGATATTTTCATTGTACGACATGAACGAATTCCGGAAGGAGAGGCACTCATATCAGCAAGAAGAGTGGAATAACCATTGAATCCTGCATAGGTTTTTGTCCATTGAGTCATTCCACATTCCACTTCACCTCATGGCTACTTGGACGACAGACCGCTAGCCCGATTCACGAGCTTGAGGATGTCAAATCTCGTGATACGGTTATAGGTTGGCCGATATTACTTCCTAGCATGATAGCATAGGTTGCCAAAATCTTTATGGCAAAAGCCACACAAGATTGTGAGGAAATACCGTTTTCAAAATTTCAAAGGAGAGCAGTCCACATACAGATATGGATCATCCTCGGGATCCCACTTGCAAACAAAACGATCACTTAATCTGCACTCGCCGCGAAATCACCCTCACTCACATGCCACTCTGCCTCCTGAGATTTAGTTCCGAGTTACTAAATCGTAGGTGTACCTCTATTTGGATGAAAGACCCTATTTAATTAATCCTTATTGTGAATTCTCAGCAATGCACATCTCACAAACCTCCAGGGAGATTTGAAGATTTAATGAAATCGTCACCGGAGGAGCAAAGATAAGTGATAAGATAAGATGAGTCAAAGATAAGTGCCGCCACATTCAGTTTAAGTGCGAGTTTATCACTGTTGCTAAGTCATTTGTGGCTGAACAGCATGATCTTCGACTACTGTCAGTGAGATTACGGTTTTGAATCTCCCAGGAGATTTGTCAGATGTGTGCTGCTGGTGATCCCCCACAAGGATTAAACAGCTGCACACTGCTCTTCAACTCGTCGGCACAGATTTGCTTCCCTTACAGGACGAAATCTCGATTGATTCTTTCTTCTTTTGATCTGGTCACATTTGTCCCTTCTGTCGTGTCTCTACTAGGGAACCTATTATCTCTGTTTCTTTCATAGAGGTCTCTTTACCTGAGAATTTCCCGAGCAATAGGCAGAAAACTACCGAGTGCTATTAGGAGCCAAATCCTTATTTGGCTTTTCTGTGGTCCCCTAATTAGTCCAGGGTTCTTTGGCATTTGTTGTCTTATTTTCTTTAAACGTATTTGATTGACCATCCTCAAGCCTCCCTGACACGCAAACATAAAGACTTTGACGCAACAGAGTACTTACCATCTCGGTCACTTGTCATCCTCGCTGCAGTCTCAGTTCGTTAGAATCCAACTGGTATTGGTTGGTAGTTGGTATGGTGATTGGTAATTGTCTGTGCAGATTCGAGATTTCAAAGGGGATGAAACTAGCCCCAATTTTGGTATTTTCTCTTCTCCAGATTGTCAGAATAATAGAGTTTTATTCATCTTAAGGGCCTGTCTGAAATGGAGTTAGTAGCTTGTGTCGCAGATTCGGTTGCAATCAACTTTACCGAACGACTTATGCTTATGTGTTATTGTGCAGCGTTGGGTGACATTCGGAAATTGAGTAGTTCACTGCACTTTGCCAGTGCGCCTCTCTAGTGCGACTGTAGTCATTCGACATTTTTATTTCTCATCTTGCAGTTATCTTCAGCTGCATTACTTTACTGAATACAGTCCAACATGCTTGGACAAACAAAGATTTGACAGCGTAAGATTTGGGGAAGAGTCGTTTGTTAGCTGTTGTGTCCATCACCGTGCAGTGACAACGAGAACCAGGCAAGACTCAAGAGGGCACCCAAATGCTTGAAAATTCAGTTTGAGATTAGATTTCGTGGGATTAGTAGACGCACTTTGGAGCTGGGGAGGGGTCAAAGAACAGGAACGTGGACAAGCGATAACGCTGTCATTGACGCATTTGCAACAACTTGATGACTATGACGATGGACGATGTTTGATACACATGGAAAGTAAGAATAAGGACAACAGAACATCGGAGCAGACTGAAGGCTGGGTAGAGTCATGTCCACTGTAAGAGGTGTGTTTTATAACTCAGTGGTTAGAGCGTGAATTTACTAATAGGAAGGTCCGTGGTTCCAACCCGACCTCTGCATCTCGACTTCCCCTGTCTAGGCTTGGGCAACCAGGGGGTATCCCAGCCCTCGTGCTTCCTTCGGGTGGCATGACAGCTAGGCACCGAAGGGTGCTATAGCTGAACGATATATATGTATCCGCCGAGTGAAATAATAATGCAAGGTATTGGTGATATCTTGACCGATACCAGTGCTTCGCAGCCTCGATAATTCACTTGAAAAATATCGCCTCATGAGTATGGAAACAACTTACCGCCGTCCAATTCATTTGGTCGTTAAGAATTCGACTGAATAATCAGGTAGTCCGTTACAACTTTTCACGATCTTGGTACCTGATCCCTACCAAGCCGAGAGCTCAGTTTTACAAGTGATAACTCTAAAGTAGGTGAGGTTAGTTCTGGCGAAGCAAGTCAGTACGCATCTGGTCCTGAATGGAACATATGAGGTGGATATAACGCAAGTGAGGTCAAAGACCGCATCGTATCGAGGTTAAGGGCATAAAATTTGGACCTGAACGTCACCTGCTTGTCTCTCTTATCGATGAGCCCTGGTCAGGATGGGCCATCTCCCTTCCTAATTAACTCCATTTGTAACATGAATTACCGTTTTCACTATCAGTTGTCCATGCTGGGTCTGTCGGCAGGCTACTGAATGTAACCTTCGTGTTCCGTAATCGATTGTCTTAACCATAGGTAGCTTGATTCCACTCGTGTCTTTGCTCTGAATTTCGCTCGGCAAGAAGCGGTCTCACATAAGTTTTCCGTTGCGCAGTCATTTTCATCGGTCGACTACTGTGAGCACCGCGCTTCTCTCATCGCTATTACTCCACCCACTCTTTTTTGTCACCCTCACCATACTTGATTCGATACGCTCTATGCCAGCAGCGATAGCGGGTGTCGTAGGTAAGTCTGTACTCTTGTGGTCTGTCTCAGTGCCTACAGCATCTCCTACTGTGCGCAAGGTCCACCCACGTGCTGGTTCGCTTCAGTTAGGCGAGAAACTAATTGTAGATTGACTAGGCTGTCATGGCCGTCCATTGATTCGAAACAGTGAATCCACGTGACAAAATCTCCCCTATTATTTACTTTCTCAACAGTCATACCAGCTTGTTTTTAGCCGCGTGACCCTCGGGAGCGTACCTGTAGTCAAACACTTCATATCTGTCCGCTGACTTCACCTACGAATTGGATTAGTTGTCATCTCTGAAGTGGTCTAATCACAAGTTCTCAGTTGATTATCGATCACTAGGCTGTTAGTCCTAGATTTAATTACAAGATGCTCAGTATCAATCCATGAATACTCTCTGGATCTTGGACCATATTCCCTATAACCAGACGTTAACTATGGAAACTCTGACCCATCACTCCAAATTACTTTAAGCTATTTTGCACTGCACCAGGCATAGCTCAGCAGTGTGCGCTGTAACCTGGATTTTCCTTAAAATTAACGTATCAGTTTAGCGAAAGTGTCATCCAGCTATTTTGTAGAGTTTACACTGTGGTGACTCTGCAAGCTTAGCAATGTGGCCAGTTTGAAGTCAGGCTTAATTTTTAAAGGAGTTGAGGGATGTTTAGTAGCGACTGTGTCCCATATTGACCTCAGGAAGTTTTGCTCAAATATGTAATAAAAGCCGAACATATGATGTTCGCTATCTTAGTATTAAGTCTACTCCTCCTGTGTGTTCATTTAAAACTGCCTGTTAGGGAATCTGGCAGCCTTCGACTGTGTGGCATGTATAAATAGCAGTTTTGGCTC